GATTTAACAACGTAACAAAAAAGGAAGAAAAAAGACCCGTACTAAGCGCTTTGAAAAACTATACATTGTTCGAGCGCGTCTGAGAAAAAATCAATAAAACTGCTGTCATTCCAGGAATAGTCTAATGCTAATCATTCTTAAACCGTTTTAAGCCTTGCCAATTACAAACCGTGGGGTCTCATATGAGTAACCTTTTAGTACATGCATAAGCTCATCAAACAGTGCAGGAGTACCTGTAGCTAGGAAAACAGCAAAAATGATACAAAATTGTTAACATATCCCAATTTCCACATTTGTGCAGTGCTGCTCCGATTACTCTCCTCATGCAACGTCCCTGTGCTAATAACAGCAAAGCGACTGGATTTCGTACACAGATCTCTTCTAATACCATCTGGTCGCCGTGTTTTTGGGCTTATTATGAATGTTCCAAGCCTTACGCAGGTAAGAAATTCTAATTTTTCGTTTGTTTAAGGTTTTCGATGGTGGAAGTTAAGGAATACGTAGGCTCAATATAAATTAGGTGCAGAGAACGCTTGCATTAACACAAGAGTGTAGCATAGTGCAGTTGGGTCAATGTCAGATTCTAAGCTGGCTATGTGCCAATGTTATCCTTTCGAATTCATTCTAAGCACATAGACTTAAAAGCACTATCTATACAAAGTACACAGCAAAACTTAGCTATTTTCTTTTTAAAATGGAAAAAATTTGTATGCTAGTAACTGAATTGACGGCTACATCTTCGAAAGTTTTAAGCAAATTATTTCTCCGGATATAAAGCAGTTGTTTTTTCTATCTTCTTCATTATAGTTATTTGCTACGTCCCAGTGCAATGTTTCTTCCCCATCTCTCTATTTTTCTTGGAATATGTCCCACTCTCTTCTAAAGCAAAGCCGCGAAGTTCAATCGCTATGGGTGTCAACATTTCTGAGTGCATCTGTTTCTCTTCTTAAACGTGTTTTCGTACGTAGGAACGAAAAAAGGCGATGTTTGTGTGTGTCTTCACTTATCGCCGAAGGTTGATTTGAACTCCGTTCATGTGCGTTATGACGTGCTTATTGCAACAAGCTTAAAGGACTCAATATTGCTTATATGATTCTAAGAGAAGTTTTGAACATAGAATCTCAATAGAAGTAGTTGGGTAATAATCGCGTTTTGTAAGGAGATTATACAACGTAAAGATTGTGTGTATTATTGTTGTTTGAGATAAAGTAAAAACGCCTAGAAAGCTTTATGCTTCAAACTCGGAAAAATTGGCGATTCAATTGCGGGTGATATAGTGTTAGGAGCAGGAAATTTCTTCAACAGTTTTCAGACTACTTAACAAAACAATCAGTTGAAAAATTTATTAATGATCATGTAAATTATATCGTATACGGTGTGCAATCTGTGTGGGAACGTTTGTCAAAACTCCGTCGGAGTGTAGGCGTTTTGAATTTCCATCCGTATCCGTAACATATGTACATATGTCGACTTTGCGACGAGAAAGCCATGAGTGCATATTGCAGAGTACGACATAGTACCTAGAATGAGAAAAATTTGAAATGGCAAAAGAAAGTGCTTGTATTTTACCTTATCTATGGATTTAGGCTACGAAAATGAAATTAGGTGCGAAGCGTACAAAAAGGCTAATTTGTTATTTTGGCACTCTTCTAGCGTATTCTACATCTTAAAGAGCGATCACCTTGACAGTAGTAATAAATTAGCTAATCGTGAAAATAATATGTGGTTTATGGTTTTTTAGTATTTTTGCTTTTGCTTTTGAACGCAGTAAGTGATGTTGCTGCCAGAATTACTCATTACTCTCAGTCATGCATGTATGTTTAATGTTTCAAAAC